TCAAGAGTTTCACGAGAAAATTCTCCCGTGAATTTCGTCTTCGATATTTATTCATTATTTCATTGGTATCCCAGTTCATAATTATAACCACGTTATTTGTTGATTTTCCTCAGTCAAACTGACAAATAATACAATTATCCGTGTTAAATTTCTGAAATCCTGACCAAAACGCTATTTCACCTGTTATCAATTTCAATTTGAACATATCGAGAAAATAAAAGCGTAATTAGCGATGAAAGTACTTGCGAGGGTATAATACTGTATAATGATAAAGGCAAGCGGCCGGTTGAAAATTCAATATTTTGTTACTTACGTGCGCAAAAGTCAAACAGATTGAAGAGACGATAGCGGCAAAGGCGATAAAATATTTGTATTAACAGGTCGAGTAGCGATCGTCTGCAAAGAATCAACTGACGTTCAAGCGCGTCGCGGGAAAAGAAAGGAAAATAAAGGAAAATAAAGGAAGAAAGAGAAGGTGTTTGCGCTGCTGTAGCTCTCTCTTTCTCACGCGCGCGCGCTCGCGGCGCCGTGAGCAAGAGAGCTTTTCTGCTTTCGCGTAAATGACAAAATCAATACGTAATGTCCGAGCCGAGGGCGTATAAGGCAACTATTCTACCTTTTTTTATTTTTTACAAAGATCCTCACTCGGTATACGATTACACGCCTACGGGCAGCACTGAAATTTCACGTATTTTTTTTCTTTCGACTGCCACCCGTGGTGCTGTTCATTTAACGTAAAAAAACATACCGCTCATTTATCCAAATACACTTTATTTTTATGGTTGTCTTTTCGTCGTAATTGCATTGCAGATCTCCTCATACGTGGAAAAATATTTGTATAAGCTCGAAGAAAAGAGAAATATGATTGTGCTAAAGATTGTAGATCATGCAAAGTAGAACGGACGGTAGAATATTAAAGTAATGCAAAGTACAAAAGGTTGAATTCGTTAAATATCCATAGAAAATTAACTCTGCATTACTCGATGAAAAATATTAATATGATTTATAATTATTACATATAGTACAAACACATACATATAACTACGAGTGCAAGCAATGATTGAAAAATGTATGTTTTACATTACCATACCCTGGGTAGAAGGAAGGAAAAATACAGACAGTAAAGAAGAGAGTGAGAAGTCGAAGTTTGTGGAAAATAAAAATAAAACACGTAGTGTGATGCATTGGAGCTCGTACCTTATGCCCACTGTGCAGAGTTTCTCTGTAAAAGTAAACCAGAAAAGAGAAGAGTTAAACAAATGATGCCATAGTTACATAGGTAAGAGCTTAGAAATAGAGCAGGATAGAATGATAGGTACAGTCGCGTCGTCTTATTTCAAAAGTGCGTGTGCTTGACAGAGTGCTGAATCAATCAAATGCAACCCGACGGAATAGCAAAGTAATTTCGACGTAAACAGAAGAAAGAGAAAGAGAGAGAGAGGGCGATGGAGTGTGAACTAGGGCAAAAGAGATAAAACGATATAGCTTAATTACAGCAGCATGAAATAGATAAATTTTTACCTAGCGAATTACACAATAAATCCGGTATTAGTACAGTTATGGCAATTGTAATTTTAGTAAAAAGTGATCATCGAAAAACATTTCTGCTTTTAATCAGCTTTCACAATTGATGGTTTCCAATATTGCAAAATGTGTATGTACTTGTATCTACCGAATTTTCATGCAAAAGTAATTTTGGATGGGCGTCACTTATTAAACGATTAATGCATTTTATTTAATGCTATTAGAATCTTTTCGTATAACAATATAGCTAGCCATATTTTTACGTCAGGTTGACGTGAAATTAAACAGGTAAACTTACAGTTCAAACGTACATTTGAAATATGTTCTAATGAATTATAACGTAGGTCTGACATCCGTGCATACATGCACGAGTATTAATCGATTTTCATGCGAGAACTGTTTCACTTTCAAATATATTTATCTGAATTTTCTATTTCATGCATAAATAAGTTATATAGAGTTATTATTAAAATTTCTATCAATCTAAAAATAGTCAAAAATTATATTTCAATTGTGGCAGTAGAAATAGTCAAGGAACAGTCAGGCAAATGCTTGCGAGTCATGCTGTAATCCTTAAATTTGCATAAGATTTTTATTTTAATACATTTTATTAAATAGCGATAAATGATTATATTTTTTAATTCGTATGACCATATACCTAAAGTTAATATTACATTTAATTTAATTAATTTAATTTAATTTCCATTCTTTCTGTGAAATATTCGGTTTAAAGTAGGAAAAGTCAGTGGAGCGTTTAGCAACATATTTTGTTCCGGATGGTTAATGAATGAGATAAAGTAACGAGAAGGTAATTAAAATGAACAATATGTGCGAGTATAGAAATAAAATACTTTGCCATTCATTCTTAAATATCTTTCTTTTCTTAGTCTTACGAGTGTCCCATGATTATGTGTTAATGCCTTCGCTTGAGGCGTGTCTTTATGACCATTGTACCAAAGAAGCCGACTGCGTTTAAAGGAAAATTTATGGCCAGTTCAGTGTTGCTAGCGAGAAAATCGGCTCTCACTGACGAGGCCCATGCATTCGGATACTTGTTCTCCAACATTATTAATTAGATTTTGATTTGGTTTGTTTCTCGAAGTGATAAGAAAGACGCAATACTCATGAAAATGTATTTTAATACTTAAAAAATATTTAACCGAAACTACCTACTCTGGTTTTCATCATCGATATTTATTTTGTGGATTGGCGGATAAAAAACAAAATGTATTTAAAAATTTTCTGAAAATTTGTATTACTCTAACTCTTCCACAACCTGAACAAAATCCTTCTATTTTATTAGAGACTCTTACGAATAATTTTAACAAGTTATATTTAAAAATGATTAGTCCAGTAGTTGTTCGTACTTTGTGTTCTGGAAATTTCATGAAATTTTGAGCCACGTGATTATAATTTCATGAAAAGTAGCAGTTCACACCAACTCTCATGAGTAGAGTGGCACTCCTGCTTATGTAACGCCCAGCGCAAGTTCATCCGTTTACAAGCTGAATCAATGTTTTCCGAAAACTTGTGCGCCCATGTACAATGTTCACCAAGCTGCACTCCAACATTAGCGGTTGTTCTTGTCATGAGTGTAGCAAAGCTTGACTGCCTGTAGCTATATATAGCACGGTAACTATACGGAGCAGCTGTCAAACTGCTTAAGCGTAAGTTTGATAAAAATCGAAGAAAAAAATAACAAGCACGACGTAACAGCATCGAGGTCTGCTGCTGCTGCTGCTGCTGCTGCTGCTATAGTCATCGGTATATTTCGCTAAAGCACTTTACGCGCGCCACGCTATCGTCACTTGTCGAGTATTGGCCATTCGCGAGAGGCGTACGAGGAGCTCACTAGTACATGCTGCAAGTTATGGGTTATGTGTGCCTCAGCTGATATCACGTATACTACATTACTTCTTGAGAACTCTCGATTTGTTTGTTATATTATCCTCCGATTCCAACAATGTTTAACTTATCAATTCAACGATTTCAATCTAATTGTATGCCCACGACGTTTGTTACATTAACCAAAGCAGATAAATGGTTAAGTAACGAGAACGGGTAGTCGAAGAAAATTGATTATCCCGCACGATAAATTGATCTGGCGGGTACAAGGTAAAGAAAAAGAAGAATCAAATGAAAAAAAAAAGAAAAGAGTCTAATTACTTGGGTTGAATGCTTGATAGCTAGGTCTCGACAGTCTCTGGTCCGTTTTTCTACGGTAGTTGAGAGCAATTTTCACGAGTGGGCGGATGTCTCTGATTTCCATTGGCTGCCTCTTGGATGCAGGGGAAAGCAATTAAATAAACGGGATTCCTTGCCTCCGCGATTCGTATTCTACTATGCGCGCGCGCTCTCCCACAGACTGATCGATCCATTGTGAATTTTCTTGACGTTAATTAAACTATACTGAGACCACGATGTCACGCAAATGATTCAACAAATATATCACCTGGTAAAATCATTTTCTCCTTATTCAGTCATTAGATTAAACGTAAAAAATTGTCAACGTGGAAATAATCGACAGCACGATGCGGTAATTACATTATTGCGTGACCGAAAGTGCAAGAGGATTGCACAAAGAAATTCCTGGGCGCTAGGCAAGGTAACCAATGCATTAGCGTATAACCACTTAATTAAACTGCTGGTCGTGCAGAAGTCAAAGGAGGCATGGAGGGTGGCAGCGAGGATTGATTTTCGGTAGCACAAGCCGAGATTGAATCGAGCGCGCCAATAGCTGCCGAACAGTTCAATTAGGTGGTTATTAAGCGGCACTGCGCTTACAAGGTTATTCTCCCCCCTTCCCTTCCACGTGCTTCATCGACCGGCTAATGAAAGCATGCATGCGTAAGTTCGTCCACTGTATCGTCGTATGTGCCCTTATGTTGTTGGCAGCGGTTAAGGGTCAAACCACACTGCTCAATTTTCCAACCTAACTCCCTCGAGTATTTTCTATGCTTCTGCAGTCAAACAAACACCATTAATCTAACAAGTTCCTTGTTAATTAGCAAAGTCACTGCTCGCTCAGATATTAGATTTACAAACTTTGCATTATATAAATTAGTAACTCGTATTAAATGCATTCACTGCTTACGCATTAAAAAGACGTACGAGTATTATAATATCATTGATAGCAATGCCGGTCGTCATTCCTACGATACAAGGAAAACGAGCGAAAAAATAACCAGCATCAATTTTTCATCACTAAAGTAATATTTATTAATGATGAATTGCAAATCAAACAAATATCCTGTCAGGTCATATTGTGCACGTCGATAATTTATCTTTCTTCTGGAGCTGAAAACTATTCACCCATATTCATTCGCTGCTTACGCAAAGTGAACCGATCAATAGTACAAATATGAAAGTGCGCAACAGTTTAATATACCGTTGATTTAGTGTCATGACGACACTTTTCAACGTAGTAGAAGCATCTATAAAAACCTTCATTGCCACATTTTATCAGTCTCTTCCGGTGTTTTTATCGATTGAAGTTGCAAGTTTAGCTGAGCAACAGAATGTTGATAAAAACTGCACTCATCGCCTTTACCTGCACCGGTTTTATTTCAGTAAGACTTTTCGTTATATCGATGCTAGTCCTTAATATAATTTAAATCATCAAAAGCTTCATTTCCATATTTCATTAATTTTACATGTCACATATTACTATACCCTAATATTATAAATTATTAATTTAGGGCCTGCGTATTATTCCCAGAGACAAAAGACAAATTAATGTAAGAATACGGTTTATAAAAATTATGTTTGCAATATTAAAATACTTTGCCTCACTTGTTGTACAATGTACTGTAATTTACTATATCGTTTGTACATTTCCAATGAACGACAGGCTTTTGGAACGATAGGAGGTATTATCTCAAATATACCAGGTATACCAAATAATTCCAGCATACAGAAAATACCGGGCTTAACAGATATCCCAAGTCAGTCTGCTCGAGTACCTAGTAAAACAGAAATACCACAAGCTCTAAAAGTTTCAAGTACAACAGTACCAACTATTGAACGCGTACGCACCTCAGCAGAACCTTTCGATGCACCAGGTGAATTTGATCCTTCAAGTATAACACATACATCTGATACGACGAACATACCATATAAATGGGGTGCTTAGAGTACAACAGAAACATCTGATACACCTAACGCACCAGATAAATCGGACGCCTCAAGTACTACAGAAACATCCGATACATCAAACCTGCCGTCGGTCCAAAATTCTCCTGCACCATTGAAAACGTCAGGTATCCCAAATATACCTGGAGTGCCAAGTATCCCAACTATACCCGGTTTCTCTAGCGGAACTAGCGATATCCCAAGCGCACCTGATATACCCAATGGAATCAACCCAAATAATGGAATAAGTGTCGGAATTGGAAAAGGAATTAGCGATGGAGCTATCCACAATTTTGGTTCCGGAATTTCGCAGGTAAAAACATGTCAAGTAACCATAGAAATGACAGAAAATGTATAACTTAGTACAATACTACATATGAAGTAGTTAGCTTACATAGTTGTATTTATATTAGGTTGCCGATGGAGTTGTTAACAGATTCAAAAATGCTGTTAACCAAACATATCAAGAAGAAAAAAATTCTATGAAGGATAGTTTTGATTCGGTGAAAAATTTAATTCACCAAAAGTTCGAGACTGGAGCTAACTTAACCAAGACTAGTTTCGACTTGGGTACCATGGGTCCCAAATTCTTCAAACATCTTATTATCAATTAAGTAACTTAATTTAGGAATAATTATTCATTTACTTTTGAAATTGCAATAAAGTTTTGAAATAAATTGATTTACTTTACAATTATGGCGTTTTAAGTAAATATAAAGATGATCATTGACAATAAAAATGGAGATAGCAAATTAGACAATAAAATAACTTTACTTATCACTAGCAATTATTTGGACCAAAGAGAAACTGCATTAAACGTATAGTGCTGCTTTTGGCTACTATATATCCCTTAAAGATAAATATTACAGCATTGAAACATTTTTATCATAAATGGATGTACAAAATCATACGTTACGAGTACATAGAAAGAAAAATTTATTTTTATAAGTTTAATTACCACAAAATATTATATAGAAAGTATATTACAACGAATACTACGAAATAAAAAAAAGATATAAGTATCTATTTTGAACTAAATCACATAATAAAATATGTTAGTAATTTACCGAAAACGCAAAATAGAAGAAAGTTAATAAGTCATTTTTCAACTACAAGTACGAAGTTTATGTCTTTTGTATAATTAATCTGATTTGTAAATTTTTCAGATGGGATGGACTGCTAGGAGCAGTGCGTACATGTATAACCCAGTCAATAACTTAGGACAAACTTTTTCACCCTCCCGTCGCGTCGTGACGTTCCTCCTGTAAATGTAAATAAGATGAGACAATATGAGTCTCTGCGTGTGACTGATAAACTGGCTCGATGATAAACACTTTAACGACTAAATCTCTTCCACTTATTTAGGACAGGCTGATTTATGTATAAGAATTTATACAGGTGGTATTCTTGATTCTGACTTTCAAATAAAAGAACTCGATTAAGATTAAGAACTCGACTATTCGTGAATTTTTTGAACATCTTGTTATTCTGCTGTCCACGTACAAACCACTGTGTTTACGCACCGCGCACCCCGATTTTCTGGTACGTCAATTACACACGATGACAAGAAAAGCTGTCCACGTACAATCCCTTGGATTGCCGTGATAGGGTCTCCTCAGCTGTTATATGCGCTGAGTTGAGATCGTACTTGAAAATGTGGAAAGTGAACTTCATTTATTAAGCAAATAAACGTGCGAGTTACGTTCGAAACAGGCGATATGGTCTGATCTTTCATTAAACTTTTTCATTGATCATAGATTTGATAGAACATCTGAATGAGCTAAGATTCATGATCTGATCAGAGCTGATTTATATTGGAATTATTTATGTAAATGAATGCTAAATAATAGTGACTTCAATAAAATTATTGAAAATTTATTATTGCTAGATGTTAAAAAATAAAACTTACAACAAAACCACCAGACTTACGGTAGACCGATTTAGATGAAAATTTGAGGAAAATATTAATTTTAAAAAATAGAAAGAGACGTAATAGTTCGTTGTTAACTCACAGACCTTTTAGGAACTAATGAGGTCTTACATTCGATAAATTGGAATATCAAGTCTCCTGAATATAAAATAATTCTTGAAGTAATGGCTCTATCACGATTTTAAAGTTACTAATAAAGAACTAAGAAAAATTCTTCCATTAAAACAAATTGTTGAATGAGATTAAACGGTTTAAAAGTTATTCTGAAAAAAATTTCATCAAATATTTAGTTAATTTCTGATGACATAATTTTAATAGGAGTTTTGATAACACATTTTAAATGGTATAAGTTTTGAATGGCCAACTTTTTTTATCAATTTTGTTTTAATGAAAGAATTACTTATAATTTGCAATTATTTGGAACAAATGGAAACTGTATTGTAAATAGGAACCGTACATATCCATCAAAGATAAACATTACAGCATTGAAACGTTTGTATCCTATATCCATAGACCAAATCATAAGTTACATAGAAAATTGTTTATTTTATAAATTTAATTATTTAAAAAATATTTGGTTTCAGCTTTCTATTGATAACTTTAAATAACGGTAGATCAATTTCTCCAGGAGTTATTTCGGGTTAAAGTGAAATTTTACTTTTCAATGTATTGGACGTAAGGTACCGTAAATCCGAAAAAGATCTACAAGTAAAATTTAAAAGATACATGATATTTATTGACGATTTCTTTTCTAAAGCTCCATCTGTAATTCTGATGATCTACTTGTAGATCGAGATTTTTAATTTAATTGATATTCGTACGAACAATTTGTTCCCATGAATACTGCTTTCGTAGTTATTGATCGTTAAAATATGATCGGTAACAGCAGTTTCAGAGAAGCCGTTTGAAGTGGCAGCGGTACGAAAACAAATAAAAATCTCTCGACAAGGCGATTATTTTGTATATTTTTATCGTAGAGTACTATTGACAGTCAAAATATGAGTGCTCCACAAAACACTAAAAAAGTAAAATAAAGCAATCATGCACGGTATAAATATTTGGACTTATACCCTGAGGCTAAAAAGACGAGAAAAATAAATAAATAAAGTCTTGAATAAAATGAAAATGATATGGTTGAAATAAAAGGTTTGCTGAAATGACAAATAAATGTTTTTAAAATAAAAAATGTGGAGATAATTGAACGTACGTGCGCAAGCAACGAGTTTGAGAGAGAAAAAAGAGAGGGAAGTTTATAACGTCAGGTACAGACCGCCTAGCCCCAGGCATCTTAGTGTATTTTGAATTTCCCCTTCTGTGCATACAGTACCGCTGACGTACATACATGCACGGAATATTTATTATAAAAAATAAGGTCGTGAAACGATATTTCAAAAAAAGTAGAAACAGCTATGCAAGTTACTTTGATTTACATTGGTTTTTTTTTATAATTACAAATAGAGAGCTAACTGAAAAGAGTGACGTTAAAAAGTTTCTACAACACTTCAGCAAAGCCACAAGGCATACTAGCATACCTCCATATGCACTTCCTAGATGGGCGAAGCCAAGAAACTGAAAGAAAGAAGTAGAACAGTTCCGCGGGCTGAAAGTTTCATTATTAAGAAGTATTACAAGGGAAAATTTGTGCGAGACGGACGTGAAGCTTGAAGGAAGGATTATCGAAGAAGCGCTGTTACCGCTAATCCCGAAAAGCCGAGACTCGACTCTAGCGCGGGGCCCCCTTGCGCGCGTAATTTCAACATTTTTATGGAAAAGGCTTCTTTCTCTTTCGTTGGTTAAAGAGAATAAAATTAATTCTTTTTATACGCTGCACAGACAAACGTAACTTCGCTTTGAGAGCAAGTTTCTTCTTCTTTTGCGCTTTTTATGTTTTTTTTTTATGAAAAATATACCACGGATAGAGTCAACTTCGTATTCATCAATACGCGGTTTAACTGCATTGCCAGTGTCAAATTCGATAACTCACATTGCGAAAATCTCAGGTATGCTTTCATTTTTTAATTCAACTTTTTTATCTATTATATTGATTTCATTTCTATATCCTTTCAGCAAAAAGATATTAACACGATGATTTTTACACCAAATTCTAGAAAATAGTTAATTTTCTTATATTTATGACATGATCAGAATTCTCTGTATTTTAAATGACTAGTTTCATTTCTTTCTTTTGCATTCATTTTAATTCATCAACATAAATAAAAACTTTTAGTGGTGATTTAAAAATATCAAAATTCAATATGTAGAAACATTCTAAAATTCGATATGCAGTACATATTCTCCTTATTTCATATGAAATAAAGCCAACGATATTATTTACTAGTAAATAAATATGCAGTTACGTTGATACTCATGATTTTTTTATTTTATCAATCAAGTTTCAAGTTTCTATCACCCGAGGTTCTACCGTGAAAAGTCATCACGGTAAAAATTGTAATAAAATATCTAAAAACGTTGTACTTTTCTATGATATCCTTTACAATGTAAATAACATAGTTGGGTAGATGTTTAGATCGTAATTAATACACTTTGAAACAAATTTTCTAATATCTTATGTAACTTGATAATGTCGAAATCACTGTACTATATTTTATCGTGATAATTTATTGATTTATATCTTTTATTTACTATGTTTATTCGAATCTAAACTTCTGCATAGGGCAAAATTCAATTAATTCTGTTATTGAGGCATTAGTTGGTATTTATTTTGAGGTTAGTATGATTGAATCGATTAATCCATATTTATGCCAACTATACTAATGCACTTTTCGAACATTTAATCATCTTGAAAATCTGCAGTAATCTTTCATGAACGTACGCAACACACACACACGCGCGCGCGCACACATACTATTACACGACAGATGATTACATGACTATCTTTCAGTCAATCAGATCACGAATAAACTGACTTTACATTATTAGATTCTCTTTTTATAAGAGAATTATGCAGTGGGATGCTTAAATAGAACGAAAACTGTTATAAGGAAAATTAGAAATTCTCAAATATACTACATATTTGAAATGCTTAACATCCATTGATATTAATTAGTAAATAATATTGCAATTACATAATTATTAACTGATTAATATCAACTAATTAATATTGACTAATTATTATATTGCTTAATTATTTGCATAGTTACAAAATGTCAAAATTTTTGTAACTATTTGAATAAAAATACTGTAAATGAGTTTTGGCTAATTTAGTACCGTTGTTGTCTCAAAATGATTTTCAAAATTGACACTGTCAACAATCAGTATTGCTATCACTTTTAACCGTGATTATTTTGTAGTTCCGTATACATTATTTCACGTATTATTATTTTATAAGTTGAATTTGAAAAATTTGCTTGAATAAATTACTGCACTGAATGAGCCATATTTACTTCATAGTTTTTTATATGGAATAAAAATAACTATTAATTTGTAATTCTCTTAATTATCGATGACATGTATTCGAAATTGAATTTGATGACAAAGATATTTGTTAAATTTATATGTCTTGGGTTATTGGGTTATTGAATAAACGTAATTTATTGATTCACGGATTCGTTATTCATAGAATAAACGTAATTTATTGAAGTAGAGCAGTAAGATTATTTTATCATATTATTTTGAAGTTGGGCCGCTGAGTGAAAGTGTACTTGATTCTCTTTTTGAAACTATGAATTATCTTACTTTCAAATCAATAGATATATTGACATAAAACGTTTAGGGCTATTAATTAAAGTCGATTTGCTGAACTTGTCAAAACTACTCAGCTGCACTGTTAAATTATACTAAGTGCCGAGCACACATATGTACTTACACGTATTACATGCTATCATATTACAGTAACTCATGTGATTTTATTCAACCAATCCGATTACGAATAAAATGGCTTCACTTACCAGGCCATCAATCTTTTAAGAAAGGAGTATTTTTTAAAAATTTTTATCAGCTTATAAATTCATTTAAAATTTGGCAAATTTACAAAATAACATGTTTGTAGGTGGACAGGATTATATTAATTAAAAAAAAACATAGATAAATGAGCTTATTAGGGCTAAATGTCAAGCTTTTGTTTGTGTCCGTTTTAAAAATGTAAAATATGTACCACGTATTTATATATGCATTCAATTTGACATATACCTTAATTATTAATACACAAGATCCATTTAGATGCAGAGTTTGCGAGAAAAATAAATGCAGTCCATTATCCATGGTAAAATTTCTGGTAGGGTTTGCTTGAATCGTGGCAATTGCTCAGAGATTCGTCTCATTTTAAATAATGAATGTTAAAGCGGAAATTAAAAATCGTGTGTGCAAATGGGTCGTGTGATGTGTTAAATACACGTTTACAACTATTACAGTACACGAACGTTCGTGACTCTTAACCAGAGCGAGATATTGGTCGATGACTCGTAGCACTAACAAATCATTACTCGATGAAGCTTATACCGTATCTGAAGTAGATCCGTGTGCACGAAGGAGTCGAGGAGTCGACCAGCGCTGCCGAGCGTAGTTTGCGCAACGCTTGGGCAAACTTGATTAACGTCAGGGTCAATTTCGACAGCTTGCATTAGCCTTGCATTCCGTTTGATCTCCCCAGAAGCAGTGTGAGTGTTTGCTGATTCATTAGAGCAGCTATTAAACTGTTAAATTTCATCGATTGCCGACCCTAAGTTAAGTCTCCAACGACCCTCTCGGAAAACTTGATTAAGGCATAAATTTAAGATCTTCAATTTAAAACTTTTCGCA